GGTGGTGTGGCCCTATAATCCTAGCACTCAGAAGGCTGAGGTAGGAGGGTCATTGTGAGTTTGAAGCCAGCCTGGACTACAGTTCTTTGGTTTTGTTTTTCAGACATGATCTTGCTATGTAGTTCAGATTGGCCACAGCCTCCTGAGTGCTGAGATTACAGGCGCCCTTTGCTAGGTTACCTTCCCCTTTGGTGCTGTAAGACAGTGCTGAGGGCAGTGTGGCTGTCCTCGGGAAGCTCCAACCTGGGGTTGGCTTGGTTCCAGGCTCTGCACAGGGCCGTTACTTACTATAGTGAGGATCCTAGACGAAGAGAGTAGGCGTGAATTCCCGAAACTTGGGGCAAGGGGTCTCAGGGCTCCTCAGCTTCACTTCCTGTTGGATTGGCAGCTTTGCATCTCCACCTCTACGGTGCCTGTGCCTGGCGCTGTCCCTCTAGGTGAGTCGCACACAGTAGGAACTCTGACTTGTGTAACAGTGCTGTGATCTCACTGCTGCACTGTGCCTGAGAAGCCTGGCTCCTTTGGTTCTCCTGTCAGCCTGGTCCTTGGCCTGCCCTCTCTCCCTTCTGGGTCAGTAAGGAGACATCAGAACACATCCACACACCACACTGCTTCCTTCAGTTTAGCACACCTAGTCCTCAAAAAGTCACAGCTTTTTTTTCCCCACTTGTGAGGACTGAACCCAGGGCCTTCACACTAAGCTATGTGCTCAGCGTTTCAAAACTTATCCTGAGGTAGGGTTTCAAGAAGTTGCCTGGGGGCCGGGGATGTAGCGGGAGATCCTGAGTGCCAGGGTTACAGGAGTATGCCAACACGCCTGACTGGGAACTGTACTGCTTGGAGATAAGGTTGGATCGGATGTCAGCACACCCAAGGTGCCCATTAGGCCCAATTCCAACTGTCCTCTCAGAAGAGCCTCAAGAGCCCTGGACCGCAGTCAGCACGGATGGTGTTCTTGCTGTGCACCAGGCACTACTGAGCCCTTCTGACACACAACTTCACGTAGTCCGCACTTACTTTTTATCAGAGGAAGAAACTGCTTCAGGGAGTTTAAGCAACCTGCCGAAGATCACAGGGTTAGTGTGGTGAATCTCCGAAGGAGGGCTGAGCCCAGGGGCCAGGTCAAAGCCTTTCTTTCCCTTAAACTGTACAATCCCCCTTTCTAAGCACTACGGCAACATCGCCCCTCCCGCCTGGCTCAGCTCCCCACCCCTCCGCCCCCTGCCCAGAGAAGAGTGCTCATGGGGAGCTCCCTCCAGCCCAGACTGCCAGGAGGGAGAAAGAGGGAGCAGCGGCTCCGGACCGCACACACCTCCGGCGAGTCTCTCAGAGCAGCCTGTCTGGGGAGGTGCTAAGCCTGTCTCCCGAAGCTGCCACCCGGCAGGCGGCCCTGGCGCACAGCGTTAGGCCACCAAATTTCTTTTTGGCCTTCTCTGCCCAATAACCTCTGGAGTACTTTAAGCTGGACACCAGCAGGCAGGAGTCACGAGGCACTGTTTATCCCACTCACCACATCCTTACTGAATCCTGAAAGGTGCACCTACGAGGTAGGTGACACGCAGTAGCTGTTGAATGGACATGGTCAAGGAGGTGACGAGTACTGAACCTGACTGTGACGTGTACAGCAAGCCATTAACTTGTTACCCAGAGGATAAAAGAGTGGAGGCCAGAGCTGCAGGAAGGGAGGAAGCAATCCGTTTAAGAACTCGGGAATGGGGCAGAGCAAGACACGGGGCGATCGAGACACGTGTCCTCCCCAATCCCAAACAAATGTCACCAAACATACTCCAACTGAAAGAGCAGTTTTAATGACACACACATACATTCATAGGACTTCAACAAGGTGTAGTAAGTATAAAACTCCTGAACAGAAATGAAAGGAAAGAGAAATCTGCATTTGCTACCCAGGCACTGGTGCACCCACCGGCTGGCAGGACGGCCCGGGAAAGGCAAACGCACCTACAAAGAATGAGGTGTGTCTCTGCTGACGGGCGAGAGGTCACCCCACGACCCTGTTAGCTGCTCTACACGCTGGGCACCTGCACCTTGCTCTTGCCTCCCAGACAAACCAGGGTGGGCGTTTCCTGTTTTCCAGCTTAGTTGCTTCTCGGTGGTCATTTCTTAACGTTGTTTGTTTTTTGGAGATGAGCCCTGCTGTATAGTCCAGTCTGGCTCTGAACTCACTATGCAGTCCAGGCTGGCCTTGATCTTCCTGCCTTAGCCTCCTGGATGCTGGAATCACAGGTGTGCGCCACCATGCCCAGTGTTTCTTAGAATTCTTTTTTTTGTTGTTTGTTTTCCCAGTACCAGGAATCAAACTCACAACCTTGCACTTGCCAGGCAGGTGCTGTGCCGCTGAGCTAAATCCCAGTTCCTGTTTCTTAAAATTCTAATTTTTAAATTTAAGGGTTACTCTTGGTTTAAAGACTCCACACATTATTACTGGTTGGTCCCCACCAACTGCATCTGTTTTGATAAATATAAATGTACAAATGGTCTGACTGAGATAACACTTCTTTATCTTTTACATCTGGGGAGATTTCTGTGAAGGCCAAGCAGGCTACTACTTGTGTTTCAACACAAGAAAACGCCAACCTTCTAAAGGGTGACAAAGGCACCACTGCCAGCAGGGTATAGACAGAAAATGTGCAGATACTGTTACTTTACTGTGACATGGATGCGTTTTGTATAGAGAGCCTCTTCACTTAATATAACTAACAGAATTTATTTTCAGAGAACAAGGAAAGGTTAGAAAAGGCAAATAGTCACACACAAGAACATAAACACAAGTACCTTAATTTTTTGCTTGCAAAAAGGATAGCAAGGCTGACGCCCACAGCCACACCACTGGACCCAGTGATGTCTCACACAGTGGTACCACCCAGCCTGCCCCGGAGCGGCCAGGCCTTCTCTGCAATGAATACCCCTCCCTGTCCATCATCCCACTCACCGGGCAACAGCAGCAGGAGGGAGACAAGGCCTGGGGACCCGAGAGGGAAAAGGAAAATACTTAATTTGGGAGAAAAACGAGGGGCTATTTGTGCTACAAGAGGGAATCACAAAATCTCTAAGAGAACCCAAATGGAAATACTGAGTGCACTTTGACCCCGAGACGGAGGCTCTGCAGAGTCCTAAATACAAGGTCCTGCACTGGTGTCTGGCTGTTTACTTTTAAGGGTCAGATGAAGTACTTTTCTTCAATGGCGAAAGACAATTAAAAATAGACATTTTTCTTACTGGAACTGCTAAATAAAAATATATCAAAGTGGTTTTAAATTTGATGGGCAGTTATCTGTTGAAACTGCAATACAAAAGGGTCACTTAAAAAAAAACCCAAATAACCCACTTGCCCCGCCCTGTCAATGTACACAATTAGAAAATATTTACACACTGTAATTACAAGCAATATAAGCAGTATTTTATACTTTGAAATTTTGTACACTTTACACAAAGCAAAATGAGAAAAATATGAACACTTATAAAATTACACACAAATAATGTATCTACAAATTATTAAATTACAGAGTGAAAATCCCACTGTTGGGCAGATAGATGTGAGTTTCAAGCTTCTGTCAAATATAACTCTTTATGTTTCTCTTTTTTTATGGTACTGGGGATTGAACCAACAGCCCTTGCACTGAGCTACTTCCCCAGCCCCTTTTTAAATTTTTTATTTTGAAACAGGCTGTCACCAAGTTGCCCAGGTTGGGCTCAAACTTGTGATCCTCCTGCCTCAGCCTCCCAGACTACTGGGATTACAGGTGTGTGCCATTACACCTGGCTGTATCTATCTCTTTAACCTTAAGTGGCATTTTTTTTTTAAAGTGGCATTTTACAACAATACCCTTGAGAGGTAGTATCAAGATAATATTCTTACCAGTAAACTCAACACAGAGCAAAGCTTTTGTTGGTCTGACTCTTGGAGACTCATTCAGTCTGGCTGTTTGGAAACTGGATTTATTTAATCTCACCTATAAAACTACTGCCCAATGCCTGACATGAGCTCAAAAGTTAACTGATGTCATAATAAATGTTAAATTTAAGATAAATTTTTTTGCTCCTACACCTCAAAGTAGAGGTAGAAAGTTCTCAAAGTTTATTCCCCGCCCCCCAAACGTCACCCCCAACCACATCATTTTCCTTCCTGCCAAATGGAGACAGACAGCTCTCAGAACAGAGCCTGTCACCCAACTTAACACTGAAAGAAACACACCCTCCTACAAGGGACACTAGTCACCCAAAGAATTCTCCAGCTGGTAGGAAGGGTCTGTCACAACCACAGGCTTCAAGGCCCTCTGGGCTGAAACCAGCGTGTGCACTTCTACTGAGCCCTCACCATCTCTAGAGGACGCTTTCCAGTGTTTAAGGACTCAGAGCAGCTCCGAGTTTTCAAGTGCAACAACATTTTGCACACACGGGGGTGTGTGTGCATGCATGTGGACGCCCCCTGAACGTCCCAAATAATAAACATAATCCAGGTCTCTGCCAAAGTTACAGACAAGATGGAAAAAAGATGTCTGGAAACATTCCCAGATCTTTAAGCTTTTATAAAAGAGACTTCTGTAATATTGCTATTTAGGGCCAGAATTCTAAGATTTTAACCAGTATTTCAAAAAGATAATAAGCATTTAAAAGAAATCCAAAACAAACTACGTATGAAAATTCTGGCATTTTAAAAATAGAGCCACTGTATTATAGCTCACTCTTTTCCTCTTAGGGAGAATCTAAAAATACACTAAACTTGTTTCCTAATTGTTTAAATGTTTTGTCTATTTATTTATGGTTTTTTTGAGAAAAGGTCTTGCTATGTAGTCTAGGCTGGCCTTGAGTTCATTATGTAGCCCAAGCTGGCCTCGAATTTGTCGCAATCCTCCTGCCTCAGCCTCCCCAGTGCTGGGATTACAGGCTTGTACCACCATGCCTGGCATTTAAACGTATTTTAAAAACCTAATAGATCTATAATCTTAAACAGTGAAGGAAACTGCAGGACCTGTGGTTCATAGGAGTTACAGAAGAGAGCTATGCTTTTATTAGTAAATTGTGATAAGCTTTCCCTTTGTATCCTAAAAACCAAAAAAAATTAACCCAGTTGAAACCTGGTCTTGGTTTCTAATGTCCAACTCCTCAAGCTGGTCCAAACTTTTCTTCTTATACTTCCTGTGATTATCCAGGTGCCACAAATACTACCTAAGAAAGATAACTGGCTTACAATATAACAAGAAGAGAAAGTACAGGCAGCTCAAACATGTAACTACTAGCTGCTTCTGTCCCACCCCTCCTTTCATAGGCTCTGTTCCTATAAAAGGTCAGTGCCTGAACAGTTAAGCCGTTTCTTCATTACCAGCCTCATGTTCAGTTTTCAAGCGGCACATCTGCTGTGCATTTTCTTAATGCACACTGGACTCCACAGCAGTACCTCCTACTTCTCTTGGAAAGGTTCTTAGTGAACTTCTCTCTGTTTGTACTTTTGCTGCTGCGACTCTTGTTAAGAATCTGGTACCCAGAAGTCATGAAGTTTCCCCTACAAAAATGAAGGAGAAAAAAAGGAAAATTTAATCAGATTATGAATTAATCCTTATAAAACTACTAATCACCAGACAATGGAGCTTTGATAATGAAAGAGAAACTTTTTTTTGGGTTCTAAGGGATTGAACCCAGGGGCTCAATGAACCAGTAAACTACATTCCCAGCTCATTTATCAAGTCTGGTTTCTGTTTTTCTTTTTTTTTTTTTAAGTCTGTTTTTTTGAGACAGGGTCTCACTATGTAATTCAGGCTGGAGACTCACTATGTAGCCTAGGCTGGCCTTGAACTTGCAGCCACCCTCCTGCCTTGGCCACCCAAGCACTGGAATTACAGCATGTGCCACCACTCCTGGCCCCAGCCCTTGTTATTTTGAGACAGTGTTTTGCCAAGCTGCTCAGACTGACCTTGAACTTCTCATTCTCCTTTCTCAGCCTGTCAAAATGCTGAGATTATAGTTGTGCACCACCATGTTTGATTTTTTTCCCCCCTCTCGTCCTGGGAGTTAAACTCAGGACCTCTGCAACCAAGCTACACCTTTAGCTCTTTTTAAAATTTTTAGATACTAAGTTGTCCAGCCTGGGCTCAAATTTATAATCCTCCTGGCCTAGACTCCCAGAAAGCTGAAATTATAAAATGCTGAGTTTAAATCTTTATAAATTTCTCTGAGCTAGGCATGGTGGCGCACACCTGTAATCCCAGCACTCAGGAGGTTGAGGCACGAGGATCATTGCGGGTTCAAGACCAGCCTGGGCTACAAAGTGAGCTCAAGGCCAACCTGAACTGCATAGCAAGACCCTGTCTCAGAAAGACAAAAAAAAAAATTCTTTGAAAAGGTCTGATGATCAGATTCAAATTTCACATTTTGTGGTCTGACAATTTAGAAAGTATAACGTAAACACTTTTTTTCTTATTCCCACACTCACACAGAGACACATTTAAAAGATCAATGTTAAGCTGATTAATACAGTTTCGCTATGAAATTCTTTTCTGTTTTAATGCTGTATCAGCACAGATGGCCAGCCCAGGTCTACTGATGTTCGAAACTAAAACAATTACATAGTAGAAAGTTAAGACTCCCAAAATTTCTCTGAAAGGGCATGTGTATCCCATGAAGGACAACAACAGCAAAGAATCAAAATGCCACGAAAGAGCAAGATGCTTTTCCAAGCTAATAGTCAGAGTTCCTGTTATTTTGATCCAAAACACAAGCAAATTCTAGGCCCTGGCTACTTAGAAGTTTAACTCTGGACACACTGGCACTAATCTGAGACTTTGTCTGAAACTTAAGTATGTCAGGTCTCAACCCAGACCTAGTAAACCAGAACACTGGGAGTCAGAGATGGGAATTAATTAGTCAAAACCCACAGCCCCTGACTAGAGGAAAAAGGGCTTTTATGGAGTTCAAACCACTCCCTGTGTCTCAAAGAAAAAAAGAGGCCCACCCTCCTGAGAACCCTACCTTGGCACGCCCATCAGCTATGGCAACTGCTGCCACACCTACAGCTTCACTCCCAGCTCCTCACTCGTCTCCCTCCAGCCAATCCAACTGGCTCCAGCTGGCTGCTGCCTGCACACAGCCAGAGGCCTCCCTCAGGAGCCTCCAGCCTCTGTCCTGTCAGAGGGCGTCACCTAGCGCCCACCCGAGGTGACTGTCAGCAGTTCCTTCTGAGTTCCACATGCAGACTGAGGAGACCTGGACACCAGCCCTGATGATGGAGCTTCCATGGTCTCTCCAAAGGTCACCTCACCTAGAAACAACCCAGTCATGTGCTTCTCAAAGACATCAAAGAGGAGGGAGGGAGGCAAAAAGCCCATTAACTAGTTACCCACAAACCTGATAAAAAAGACACCTGATGTTTGTAAGAAAATCTAGTTTGATGAAGGACCACGCCCTCTGGCTATGAGTTATAAGGACTACGGACACTAAAAAAAAAAATAAAGTAAAAAGGTAAGAACTCTCAAAAGCTTCAACCTAGATCAGATGACAACCCTTTTATCAGTCTAATGGGCTCAGACAAGGCCAGACTGGGCTCCTTTCTTCATCTGGGCCACCAGGAGCCCACAGTACCATCATCCGGCAACTCGGACTCTTGCCTCTCGCCCCTTCTGCCAGGCACAAACTTGCAGCCTGAGAGGACATCTCACCAAACATGAATGCCTGCATAAGCCAGGCTCCATCGTGCTTCTGGGAAGAGACTTCCTCTTCAAGTTAGAAGCAACCATCTCCTCTGCACCAAGCCAGTCAGCCTCCCTCTTGTTTAACTCTGCATCTTCAACCTGAGAGGAAGAGGATGCCTGTACTGGCCTGAGACAGATAACCCCAATCCTGAAGTTCTGAACTTTCCTCCCAGAGGTATAAACTAAAGACTTGCCTCTGGGCCTAGCCAAGACCCCCACTGCTGCCAGATGTCACAGGAAACACAAACAGGCATCCAGCCACACATCAGCCTGATAGACTGTGAATCACTGTGGGCAAGATCTCCACACTGTCAACAACACAGCTCTGCCTGTAGAGCCAGTTTAACATCTCCAACCTGCTAATGCTGCTGACTGTCCTCCGTATACACTGCCTCCGCCACCCCAGCCTGCTGGTCCACCTGCCTGGACCCAAAGGCCTTCCTCTGCCTTTGGTTGGCTCCTGTCAGTCTGCCCCTCTTTGCCTTTAAATGGAAAGACCCAGCTTTGGACTCAAAAGCCTACTGACCTGGACTCAACCTCCCAGAGGTTCGAAAATTTGTTAACCCTCTTTACAGAAGCCTTCACAGCTGGCCAAAACACTTCCGACTGATGACACCCAAGCTGCCTGCTGAAAAGGACAAAACTTCTGCTACAATGTCTGGCAGAAACTGGTTACAAAAAAGAAATCTGGTTATAAGAAACAAACTGCCAATTTCTGGGAGCTGCTGGCTTCTATAGAATCTAGATCCTTGAGTTCACAAAACCTATGATGCTTACTCAGACTATCAGTCCCTGGGAATGCCCAGTGCCCTACCTGTGCAAATACTTGGATCCGACTGCTAAGGGCTGCCTCCTCCACTTTTCCTCTGTGCTCTACCAGCCACTGTCCTGATAAAGAAAGCTGACAATTTCACCTTAGACTGAGACCTAACTGTCCCCAGGTGCCACATCCACGTGCAGCACCAGGATGAACGGTTCTTAAAGCAATGGATCCCAAAAGATGCTGAGCACACCCTGTTCACAAATGGAAGTAGCTCTGTTAGGAATGAAGTCCAACAGGCCAGATATGCTGTGGTCACCTTCGACAGAAGAATTCTGGCAAAAACTCTCCTATAGGGGTGATCTGTACAGCAAACTGCTTCTTGCTGTTCTCTGGAAACCTGCCACCAACCACTCAAAATAATCTGGTCCCAAGGCCTAAGCCCCCTCCTGGGATCTGACCGACTGAAACATCAGCCCCAGCCACCAGACCTGCCCCCACCATATGCTCTGTAAGCCCAACCTGCTGCACGGCACCCACAGCCTGGCAGCTGGCTCAGGCTTCAGTGTCCACGTCACTGGCCTTGAAGCTTCCACTCCCTACCTGTACTGAGAAGACAATAACAGTATGTAGGGTCTTGCTGTAAAAAATCCCTAGATATGGCCTACCCTTGATCATTGGCAATGACATTGCACCTTCGTTAGTACCAGAGGTAACACAAAAAATAGATTAAATAGAAACTACATACAGCATGCAGGCCATAAAGCTCACTCAAAAAAAGCTCTGCTCTGGTCACTCTGGATGCTGACCAGTCCACACATGGATACAGCCTGAGGACCCAGTTCACAGGGTTGTGCCATACCTATCCCCTTGATTTTTTGTGTCTTTTCAGGCTGCTTACCCTAGTCCTTGCTTCCCTGCCTGCTGCTAGCTGTGTTTTTTTGCCTTAAACTCTACAGACAGTTGCCACAAGAGAAGAGAACAATCAATCAAACACCTGACCAAGATCTGGTGAGTGTCCAAGGCACACTGGATACTCTCCTAGATCAGATGAACTCCCTTTACTTTCTTGTCAGAGTCAACTTAGGGGGAAACCCTATAGTAAGGGAAATAAACCACAAACTCCTACTAGAAAAACTTTTAGTCTTGGGGACTTTGGCTAGGGCCCATCCTAACACAACTGACAACCCTAATGTTACTGCTTCTAGATGGGCCCTGTCTCAAAAGGTCACATGCAATATGCCCAGCAAATAAAAAAAGATTTGCCAGGGAAACTAAAAAAGGGGTGAATGTGTAACAGAAAAGGCCCCCCCCCAATACCTCAGTCCCAACTGACAAGCCGTTCTGCCTCTATGCTTCCTGATTTCACATAAGCCCTAGATCACCAGAGAGCAGGGCCTGTTATTCTGGGAATGACCTGGTCAGTGCCTGGCGATGTAAATAAATCTGCCTCCAAATCCTGGGTGTTTCTGCTTGCTGTAGCAATACGTCAATAAATAAAATGTAATGTACCCAAACAAGTGAGTAGTGTTCAAGACAGAAAAGATACACATACAGCAACACAGATCCACTTATCATTATGCTGGGGCAAGAAATTAGTCACGAAAGACCACATAGGCCATCTCACATAGGAGAAATGCTCAGAACAGGCAAATCTATAGATAGAAAGTAAATTAAGGGCTCAGGATATAGCTCAGCAGGAGAACGCTTGCCTGGGAAGTGCAAGGTCTTTAGTTTGATTCCTGGTACCAAAAAAAAAAAGGAAATAAATTAGAGGCTGGAAATATGGTTCAGTGGTGGAGTGATTGCCTAGCATGTCTGAGGTCCTGGGTTCAATTTCTAATAATACCACCGAGAGAGAGAGAGAGAGAGAGAGAGAGAGAGAGAGAGAGAGACAGACAGGAAGGAAGAGAGAGAGACTGCCTTAAAGGAGTGGGGAGGGAAGGAAGATAGTGGGGAATGAGGAATGACTGTTAGTAAGTACAGGAATTCTTTTTGGGATGACAGAAACTTTCTAAAGTTAGACCGTGGTGACAGTATTCACATATCTATGAATAAAAAGCATCATGTACGTTAACTGAGCAAAAATTATTTTATGTGGGTTAAATCTTAAGATTTAAATCTCAGACCTGTTAAGAAAAATGATTCTAATGAAATAACCTCCATTTAGGTATGATAGACACCGTGAAATGATAGGAAACCGCGCAAGAGTAAAGGGCAACTGGGATGTGGGAAAAGAGAAGGGAAAGAAGGAGAAATTTTATATGTATGTATATACGGGATAGTTAACATGGTTGTTCTTCTGTCTTCTATTTCTACGCAGAAAGAAACTGTCAATGAGTCTTTGGTTGATCAGTATTGCACTTCTATATCTGTTTTCATGAGAAGCCACTTTGAAGATATCAATATGTAATACAACAACCATTGTTAATTCCCTACCACTTTGTTTGTAACTCCGTATTATCTGTACTGTTCTTTTGCTATGTTGTAAAATGTTGTCTGTCTGTTAATGTTTTTCTCCTTTTATTTAAAAAAACAAAAACAAAAACAAAAACAAAAACGAAATAACCTCCATTTGGTGCAATATAAAGTTTTAAAATGGGCTATACCACTTCTTTTTGTATTTGTTTGAGACAGGGTCTTGCTGTGATATATATTCCAGGCTGGCCTTAAACTTGCGGCAATCCTCCTGCTTCAGCCTCCCAAGTGCTGCGATTATAGGGGTGTGCCACTGAGCCTAGCTTGGCTATACAACTTCTAAAAATAAATTAATAAATATAAAGCAAACAAGAAATAAAAAATATAGACAAAACATGTAATATTGGTGTTTTCAGTTTATCTTCCTATTAACTAGGTTGAGTATTATTCTTTGTTCCCAACAGTATGAAGAATATCATTTTTTAAGTAAAATTATTAAGAATAAATAAAACTGTTCAATAAAACGACACCTGAGTAGGCCGACAGTTCTGGATTATTTCCTGCCATTTTCCATGTATCCTGGCAACCAAGTCTTTCACCTTAAAATCAAAAAGAAGAAAAGGCATCAGATCAAAAAATCCTCAGCTACAATCAAATTAAATTTAATATAAAAAAATCTCATAGCTCTCAAATGGCCACATCCAGCAACTTAGTTTGGTTTATGACAAGAAAGAAAACAAGCTACTCACCTTGTGGAGGAACTTTCAAGTTATAGTAATTAGTAAAACATCCTAACCCAAAATACCGAATGCTTGGCACTCTTTCCTAGTACAACAGTAATTAAAGGGCACTCCCAAAACACTAATCCCTGCTTCCGAAAGAGCTTAGATTTTTCACTTGCTGGCTTTTGAACACCCAGCTAGAGAAGCTTGAGGGTGGTCTGTGCCAGAGGCCCAATTCTTTGGCTATTCCCTGCCCTGCCAATTCTATTTAAAAGACTCAAGACCATAATAAAAAATACTTATCATTTGCTCCTTTCCACATTATAAGACCCAAAATTCAGCGAGTCCTTTCCATATTTTCTGTGAAGTATTATGAAGCCCCTTTAATTTAATTAAAACATTTTTTGTCTTTTAGGGACAAGGTTTCACTATGCAGTTCAGGCTGGCCTCAAACTCGCAGTGATCCTCCTGCCTCTGCCTTCTGACTGTTGGGATTACAGTGTGTGCCACCATGCCCAGCAGCCCCTTTAATTTTAGAGACAGAGTCTTGCTATGTAGTCCAAACTGGCCTTGAACTTGCTGTTGGGCCAGGCTGGTATCAAACTTGTGATCCTCCTACCTCAGCCTTCCAAGTGCTGGGATTTGCCACCATGCCTTGCATAAAGCCCCTCTGAATACTTGGTATATTCTAATGTGAGGTTCACCCAAGTCTCTGCGTAAAACTCAACACTCTACCACAAGGCTTAGCATGGTGGTGCATGCGTATAATCCTAGCACTTGGGAGGCTGAGGCAGGAAGACTGCTAGTTCAAGCCCAGCTTGGGGCTACATAATGAGCTCAAGGCCAGCCTGAACCACACAGCAAGACCCTATCTCAAAAAACAAAACAAAGCAGTATATATAGTACATCTAAAAAGGCAGTGTTTAAATTACCAGCCATAGCAGCTAATCAATGTAAGATATAAAATCACGAAGCTGAGACCTATCTTCCAGTAACTATTCAAACAAAAAGGGCACATTACAAAAGCTAAAAGATGACTGAGATATTAAAAAGAAAACAACAGTTGTTTAATTTTGTTTAAGGAAAACTCAAATCATTGTATTAATACTAAAGGTGCCTTCCTATTGCATACTCATAAATTTGGCTTTTTGACTGTCTTTACATAAATGAACCCTTGAAAAAAAAAAAAAACAGCAAGCTTACTGAGAATCGTTTTCATCCTAGAGCTCAGACAGGGTGATGTTAAGACTCAGATCTGAAGAGTCCTTCCTTTAACACATTCTTCAGTGACACAGTCAAAGAATGACAGCTAATCTATTTCTTTTTGTTTTTGAGAGTCTCACTATGTAGTTTAGGCTGACCTTGAACTCACTATGTGGCTCTGACTGGCCTCAAATGCATGGCGATCCTCCTGTCTCAGCCTTGCAATTACACACTTGGGATTACAGGTGTGTGCCACCACGCCTGACTATTTTCTCTCTCTCTCTCTCTTTTTTTTTTTCCGGTACCAGGGATCGAACTCATGACCTTGCGCTTGCCAGGCAGGCGCTGTGCTGCTGAGCTAAACCCCCAGCCCCCTGACTATTTTCTCTTTATGAGTGAAACAAGTTTTCAACCATTGTAAGATTTCATAATGCTTCAAACCTTGAAACTATCTCAAGCATAGGAGTTTAATTTTTAAAATGGGGAAAAAAACCTAAGAAATAATGAATAGTACTGAAAAGAATTTTTCTTTTTGAGTATTAAGAGTTTCACAATTTTTCCTTTTACTTTCAATGTAGCTAGACAAGTATAATGCTTAGCAGAAGCAGACTCTGCTATTAAAGAAAAAAGTCCTATTTTTAATTTTTGTGTGTGTGTTAGGGATAAAACCCAGGACCCAACAAGCACTCTACCACCAAGCTGCACCCAGCCTGTTATACACACCCCTCTTTTAAGAGAGGGCTTACATGATTCTCTTCCTTTAATATTAATACAACCAGGGTTAAACAAAGGCAATGTTAGAAACACACTTACTTTAGTCCTGTAGAAAAGCCGTGCGTCTTCCCTAATGTCGCACTTAACATGCTTCTCCAGAGCCCCACAGAGCAGCACGAAGTGCTTCTGTTCAGAACGAAATAAATGCAAGGACTAAACAATTCTGAAACATCACAGACTAACAAAGAGACTGTACAATAGAAACCAAGGCATTTAAAAGTCTATCATCCCCACGTTAGCAATTTCTGATGCTAATCATCAGAGATAGTAGCAGTCCTCTCAGTGAACGCAATCACTTACATGAACACAGAAGGACCATGACTTACTGCTCAGTTAATTTAAAGAACACATACAGAAGCTGCTACTGTGGTGCACACTGCGAGTTCCAGCTATGTGAGGCTAAGGCAGGAGGGCCACCGAGCCAGGAATTAGCCCCCAGTGACAAGACAGTGAGATCCCTATCTCAGTAGCAACAACTACTAGTACTGTAACTAAGCCATGGTCTTCAGTGGTAGAGCACTTACTTAGAATGCGCAAGGCTCTGGTTCAGTCCCCACCACTGGAAAGCAAATGAAACAAAACCCACAAAAATGATGCTTTGCTATGCTTTAGGTTATACTAATGAAGATTAACTCAGAGCTCATAACTAGGTTATGTTTTACTGATAATCTGAAGAGTCCTTCCTTCAACATATTCTTTAATTAAATATCCAAGTAGCAACTAATGAGCTTTTATTTTAGTTATTTACTGAGCTATGTCCTGTGCCTTGTGGTCCTCCTGCCTCAGCTTCCTAGGGTGCCGGGATTACACTAATGTGCTACCATGTCCAGCAATTTTATTATTACCATTTTTAAATGGGAGAGCACAGAGTCCTGAGGAGCAGAGCTGTAGGCACCAGGCTCCTCACTGCTCTCCTCCACTGCAGGTGCACTCTGGCTCGGGAGTGGCCTGGGAAGCAGCAGTGGCCACAGTTCCATCATGAGCAGGTGATCAGAAACAACTGAAGGCCTGGAGATCCAGGCACAGAACCACTCCTGGCTGAGTGCGCCCAGCCTAACTACCAAGGAAGGTGCTTGCTCCATGGCGCACAGGCCGAAGCTTTCAAGGCCACTAAGGTGGCTAGGACTTGAAATTTTCCCTGCAGAGACACTGTATGGAGCAGCTCAGCCATCTCCCCCTGAGCCACTAGGGGGGCTTGCGACTGTTAACTCTTCACTGTTCTTTTTTGGCACTGGGAATCAAACTCAGGACCTCGTGTTTGCCAGGCAGATGCTGTGCCACTGAGCTATATCCCTGGCCTTACCCTGTAACTTCAGAGTGGGATGCCTTGTGGACCTCACTGCTGAAGTAAAGACTGCAATTTCTTTCTTTTTTTTGGCTTTTGAGACAGGGTCTCACTATGCAGTTCAGGCCAGCCTTGAGCTCACCTTGTAGCCCACGCTGGTCTTGAACTCACAACAATCCTCCTGCCTATGGCTCCTGCCTCAGGCTCCCAAGTGCTGGGGTTACAGGCATGCACTAACCATGCCTGGCCCTAAAAACTGAATTTCTATAAAAACCAAAGCATTTAGGTCAGAGTTACTGAACATACACAAACATAGCAGTGGAGCATATGGGACACCTGGGGCTCTATATAGTGTGACTACTAACCTGTGTTTCTAGTCTCTGTAGCCTAATAGGAAAACAGGGATTTTCTGGGTCTCAGATGATGTAAAGTATTTTGAACAAAAGCTGCAATAAACTGCAGACTGTGATTTCAGGTCTTTGTTTATGTGTAGATACTCGAAAGAGGCTTTATCATAAAATAGTAATTATTCTACCTTCTGTCAAGTTATTGCCTAAACCTAAATGGAAGTATAAGATTTTCTAGTTAAATAAAATCTGAAACAGCATTTTCAACTAGGCAGGGTGGTGCATGCCTGTAACCTTAGAACTCTGGGAGGCTGAGGCACAAGGCATCAAAATTCAAACTTAGTTTGAGAAACTTAACAAGACCCTGTTTTAAAAGGGCTAGGAACGTAACTCAGTGTGAAAGCCGTGAATTTAATCCTCAGGACCACAAAAACAACAAAAAACCAAGCAAGCAGCAGTTTCTACTGCAATCTATTACAAATGGACATTAAATGAAGTACGTAGCACTGTATTGTTAAAAAATTAGTTTAAAAAGTTACTTTATTATTTTTAACATGTTCTGTTTTGAGATGTGGCCTTATTATGTATGTGCTACTAAACTCTGATTAAGCTATTGTTAAGAGGATTAGTTACTTTGAAAAATTAAATGTCTTCAATTTTAAAGCACCCAAAACAGTTTCTTATATAGTTGGTGAACCTAGATGGACACTTTTGTGGGAGGGAAATGTGATAATAGTTATTTTTATGTAATTAAGATATGAACTATTTATAACCTTTGACCTAAGAATTCTAGAAATTTATTGTGTAGATTGCACAAGTGCAGCGATAAATGAACACATTATGTTACTGTATTTCATCACAAAAAAAACTCCACCAGTAAAGGGCCTGACATACTGTACTTATTATTAGTTATTAGAAATACTATGTTTATGAGCATAACTTAAGGTAAAAAGACAAATGGCAAATAATGAGAATCCCATTTTTAAAAACCAATTGTCAGTGTATAGATAAACTAGGGAAAAATGTATAGAAGGGCACTGGATTGTAGTTTATCACCTACTTTATATGGTTTTATAATAATCACTGATTGGCATTTTTTTTCTTTTTTTTTTTTTGCGGTACCAGGGATCTAATTCATAACCTTGTGCTTGCCAGGTAGGCGCTTATGCCACTGAGCTATATCCCCAGCCCCAACTGATTGGATTTTGAATCAGAAAAAAGCTTAGAAAATGTAAAGGCTATGTGAGGATATTATAAATAAATGACTGTCAGGTTCTAATTAGGAAAGCAAATATAGTTTTACGTACAATAGCACTTAACCTTATGTATAATAGCACTGAACTTGGACTTAACTTAGTTCAACTGGATGGCAAATGTTATTTCTAAAGAAAAAAAGCAGAGCTGGGGATATAGCTCAGCAGCACAGTGCCTACCTGCCAAGTGTGAGGTCATGAGTTTGATTCCCAATACCAAAAAAAAAAACCTAAAGAAAAAAAGCTGAGTGGGAGAAAAGGTGAGAAGAAACCAGGTAAAAGCTGGTTTGCGCCAGGCGTGGTGGTACAAGCCTGTAATCCCAGCACTCAGGAGGCTAAGGCAGGAGGATCATTTTGAGATCAAGATCAGCCTGGGCTACAAAGTGAGTTCAAGGTCAGCCTGGGCTACAAAGTGAGTTCAAGGTCAGCCTGGGCTACAAAGTGAGTTCAAGGGCAGCCTGAACTGCACAGTGAGACCCTGTCTCAAAAAGGGGGAGGGGGAAAAAAAAAAAGCTGGTTTGCTAGCTATTTAGTAATTGTGGTATCTTATGAATATAGTATACTGTTGCCAAGGTACAATGGTTATGCTGTACTCCAACAAACAGAACATTTAATAATAAATAATTCTTGTCAATATGGTATGTTTGCAGGTTATGGTTACTCCCCCTTTCCCAGTTAATTTCTATTAAGTTTTCTCCTAATATAAGCACACGCATTCATTCCATCAATAGTGACACCTATATAAAACAATACTACACATTACCTACCCGTTGTCCAGAAGAAAAAGAATGAGAACAACTAACTTCACCAACTAAGTGAAGAAGAATGTAGGTCAGGTAGTATGCCTGTTTAGACAAATGAGTAAAATTAGTATCTATGAATTAGTTGGCACAGGTATCATTTCAATTTACCAACCAGGAAAGTAGTCCAGGAAAGATAAAGGGTTTAAGGAAGGAAAAGTCAGGCATTTAAACCAGGCTTTCTGATCTTGCACTCAAGTAGATTCATTTTACCACCTCATGACTGCCCTAGTACAGGGGTAGAAAAATATAGTCCCAGTATTAAAACTACCAAGAATCATCCTTTTACCTAAATTCCAACTCTCACATTTAATGAATTATTTTACAACAGCAACGAATAAAGATACCTGCTTTTCAAGTTCTAAGTGAAGACTGTCATCAATAGTGCCATCTGGCTGCTCGGCTCTTTTCTTCAAGACCATTTTTTTTAACAAATCAGAAGGTTTCATTTGTACAAGGTAGTGATGGAGCACTGATATCTGTTAAAACACAGAGGGGGCACTGAGCAAGACTCAGCAACACAAGCGCCCCTTCTCAGGCCACTTCCCCCCATGTCCCCGTCCACTCTGCCTTCTCTAATTGTCCCTCTCAGCATTCTTTACCATCCAGTGAGAGCCACTTTCCTCTGAAAGCCCTCACCTGCATTAAAAAGCGGTTTTGGGTTAGAGATTCAGTGCCTGTACCCTGGGATATAAATGGTTAAAATACCAAATGATATTATGATACAGTCCATAAGTAGTGGTTTCTTTGTGAAATTACTTGAAAGCAAAGCTGAATTTCTCCACAGATAGAAGTCACTGAATTCTGAAAAACAGCACTTAATAAGAAGCTGAAAAAAAAAAAAAAATCACATCTAGGATGAGTAACCTGAGGGCTAATTTATGCAACTTCTGTTTATTATTTTTCTATTTCTAACTCACCCATGGGTACAAACAGAAAAATAATAAACAAGTTGCATAGCACGTAGTATCACTTCTGGTGGCAGATATATCATAGAAAGGAGTGAGAGCTGCTTGTTCATCAGCCTGGTTGCTCAGGAGTGGCGCTCACAGAGTGGAATCCAATCCACTTTACTAAGGTTTGGGAGCCGGCTCTCCCCATCACTCTGTGCCCCCGGGCATCCTGTGCACACCTCTACTGCTAGTCTCACCATACTAACCACTTGACAGTTGGTTTACTGTCTCAACCACTACTTCTGTCTTCTGTGAGTCTAATTCACCTTTTTACCTCAGGACCCGACAGAGTTCCTTGCACTGAAAAGCAGCTCAAACAAGGACATGGGAGCACCCAGATCAGGTTCTATGGTGAGTTTTCAGGTCCAAATAAGGGGACTCCACCAGTGCTATCAGTGTAAAATGCCTCCCTCAGAATGGGGTCTCCACGAGACATGTCCATATACACTCATGCATCCCTGAGGTACCTACCACATGCA